TCTCCTACCACCAAGCATGACGAGCAAAGATGTATGCCTTAAGTGTTAAATAAAAAACACAAAAAAGTTCAAATTTGGTTTAAAAAACACAAGGAAAAATAATTTTTGCGTCTCCATAATTATAAAGATTTATTTTTAAACTTTTTCCCATGAAATTTGGTTCTAAAAAAGTTAAAAAATACAACTTCAATGTTGTAAAAAATACAAAAAAAAGGGGACGTCATAGAGTTGTCATATCATCAAAAACCGCGAAATCAGATATAATGTCTGATTTTTTCTCCAAAAATCAACTAAATATTTTTTTTTCGTAACCACAATTATTATCCGGTTATTTTATAACGAAAAACCGTGAAATATAAAATTAAATACGTAAAAAGACACACTTTATGTATTTTTCMATTTTTATTAAAAACACCCCTTAATTGTTAAATAAAAAACACAAAAAAGTTAAATTTTAGTTTAAAAAACACAGAGAAAAATAATTTTTGCGTCTCCATAATTATAAAGATTTATTTTTAAACTTTTTCTATGAAATTTGGTTCTAAAAAAGTTAAAAAATACAACTTCAATGTTATAAAAAATACAAAAAAAAAAAAACACGGGTGAACAGTACGGATCGCCCCCTGGTACAGTACGGATCCCCCCCGGTACAGTACGGATCCCCCCCGGTACAGTACGGATCGCCCCGGGGGAGAGGTCAAACACGGTCAACGAGGTGAACAGTAATCTCGATATTTGAGGAATTTTTTTTATCCGGGATCGCCCCCATTGTGTACGGATAACCCCCGGGGGCGATCCGGGTGGTTATTTTGGCAAAACCTCTAAAATGTGATTATTTTGTGGCAAAAGGTTATGTAAACCGGTTATTTTTATAAATAACCCCTAAAAAAATGCATGTTCATTTAAAAGTATATTTTGAAAACATTTCTATTTTAAATAAGATATATTTTTTGAATCATATTACTTTTATTTTTAAATAAATTTATTTGAAATAAAATCACAAACTTACGTTGATCTCACTAAAATGCACTATAAATGTGCTTGTACCCCTTGATACCACATATATGAGGTAAAAGACAAGAAGTCTAAATCCATCTTCTTTTTGAATGAAAAGGTAAACCATAATACTGATATCACACGATACCGGTTCTTCCTGGCCCCGTTATTGAAAATGAAAATAATTGCTATTGTTTAAATCAAAAGCAATCAACAAAACTAAATCGTCGACATTGTACTACTAAGCAACACAATCTTTTCTTCTATACGTTCACTTTTAACTTTGAGAAAACGAGAGAAAATTTGGATGACAACAATTTTTCCGTTGCACAAACTTCCTCGTTCATTTGATATACAAAAAATCATTCATACGATGAGTAGTTACTTAGGAATTTAACCAAGATGAACGTACGTTACACCTTAATAGATAAGCTTATGGATCGATTATTCAGGACGTTTTTGAAATTGATCTTCAGTTTTTTAGTGTTTTAATGCTGAGTTGAAAATGAAAACACGTCAAATTTTTTTTTTAGTGTTGGGTTGGAGATGGTCTAAGAGCATCTCTAATGAAGTTTCTTTATGGACTTTAATGTTTGGAATGATTAAGTCATTGGACAATATTTTAGACTAAATAAGTCACTGGACATTTTAAAACCTGTTAAATAACTCCTTCGACTTTCTAAAACTTGTTAGAGATATCCTTATGACTTATACAACTGGTTAATGTGGTAAAATAATGGAAAAAGTCTGTAAAAAATCAATTGACTTTCATATTTTGAACGATTAAATTTCTAAACATTTTTTGAAACTAAAATTACTTACATCTATAAAATGAAACAAACATATCAAAAAAGTACTTACATTTAAAAAAGATTATTGATGAAATTGTTTTAATTAAAAATAAAATATATTATGTCAGTGATTTTTCAAATAAAAAAATAAAAAATAATTTGATTAACTTACTAACAGATTAACGATAAAATTTAACTAAATACATAAGTAACTAAAATTTGTCGCTAATCCGTCCGTGAAATGATATAACCGACAAAATTCAAGCATAATCTTTCACATTTATTAACGTGTTACTGTGCTAGAGCGTCTGACGGTAATCAAGTTAGCCATCAATTAGATATAAGTAATTCATGCATATATACCAATGAACACTAGCAAAGAATATTAATTAATTATGTATTTAGTTAAATTTTATTGTTAATCCATCAATAATTTAATCAAATTATTTTCTATTTTTAAATTTAGAAAATCGCTAACATAATATTTTTTATTTTTAGTTAAAATAAATTTCATCAATAATCTTTTTTTTAAATGTAAGTATTTTTTTGATATATTTGTTTTATTTTATAGATGTAAGTACTTTTTTGGTCCAAAAAATATTTAGGACTTAATAATTTAAAATATGAAAGTTCCTTGGTTTTTTTTCCAGACCTTTTCCAATATTTTACAACATTAACCAATTTTATAGGTTATAAAAAAGTATCTGACAAGTTTTAGAAAGTTGAAGAAATTATTTAATAGGTTTTGGAATGTCAAAGACTTATTTGTTCTAGATAGTAAAATCTATTTAGTTTTTTAAGACAAAAAATGTAGGTTCTTTTTTATAAGAACAATTATATCATTTGAGATCTTGTACTTGAACTTGGTTTGATGAGATATTTTGTTAGTTTTTTTTTTTAGAGTCTAAAAAATCACAGTGGACTTTAGTGTTTGGAATGATTAAGTCATTGGACAATTTTTGGAACAAATAAGACCTTGGGCATTCCAAAACATGTTAAAGAACTTCTTGAACTTTTTAAAACGTGTTAGATATATTTTTATGACCTATACAACTTGTTAATGTGGTAAAATAATGAAATTTTTTTGGAAAAAACCAATAGACTTTCATATTTTAAATGATTAAATCTCTAAACATTTTTTGAACAAAAAGAATACTTATATTTATAAAATGAAACAAATATATAAAAAATGTATTTTCATTTACAAAAAAAAAATTACAGTTAAAAAAGATTATTGATGAAATTTATTTTAATTGAAAATAAAAAATATTCTTTCAGTGATTTTTCAAATTAAAAAAAATAAAAATGGATTTAAAAAAAAAAGAAAACTGATTTAATTTGTTTTAATTAAAAATAAAATATATTTCGTATATGATTTCTCAAACAAAAAAAAAATCAAATAAAAAATTAAAAAAGATTACTGATGAAACTAATTTTAAGTAAAAATAAAATATATTTTATTGGTGATTTTTCAAATTAAAAAGTATAAAATAATTTAATTAAATTACTGACGAATTAACGATAAAATTTAACTAAATACATAATTAATTAAAAATCGTCATTAGTCCATCTGTGAAATGATATCACCAACAAGATTTAAACACGATCGTTCACACTTATTAACATGTTACTGTGTTAGAACGTTTAACGGTGGTCAAGTTAGTCATCAATTAGATATAACTAATACATGTATATATACCAATGAACACTAGCGATAAATTTTAATTAATTATGTAGTTAGTTAAATTTTATCGTTAATCCGTCAACAATTTAATCAAATTATTTTCTATTTTTTTAATTTAAAAAATCATCAATGTAATATATTTTATTTTTAATTAAATAAAATTTTATCATTAATTCTTTTTAAATCTTTTTTTAATTTGAGAAATCATATACATAATATATTTCAATTTTAATCAGTAATCTTTTTAAATATTTTTTATTTTCAATTAAAATAAATTTCATCAATAGTTTTTTTTTGAATGTAAATAACTTTTTATAAATGTAAGTACTTTTTTGATATATTTGTTTAATTTTATAAATATAAGTATTTTTTTTGTTCAAAAATGTTTAGCGACTTAATTGTTCAAAATATGAAAGTTCATTAGTTTTTTTTCATATTTTTTCTATTATTTATCACATTAACCAGTTTTAGAGGTCATAATGATATATCTAACATGTTTTAGAAAGTCCAATAAATTATTTAACGTATTTTGAAATGTCCAATGACTTATTTGTTCCAAAAAATTGTTTAAGAACTTAATCATTGTAAACACTAAAGTTCATTGAGTTTTTTTAGACTTTTTTTCCTTTTTATATGTATTTTCTTAACCTTTATACCATGTATAATTATATATTATACACATATATATATATATAGGTGAGTTATTATACAACCTTTTATATTTGTACAACCAATACAACTCAATCTTAACCGTCCATTCTTTTGATGAATATGTGATTTCATAAAATTTTTGATTGTTTTTAATATAAAGTATTGATCATAATCAATAAACTCTAAACATCTTCCATAAATATTCAAATCATAATAAATGAATTCTCATTATTTTCATAAATACCTTAATTGATTGAGTTGCATTGATTGTATAAATAAATATAATTACATTTGAAATATATATATATATATATATATATATATATATAGGGTTGGGTTCACGTGAGACCAAAGGTTTTTCGTGAGACCCGTAAGACCAATTTATGTTCATTGATCAAATTTATGAATTAATGATCTAATGGTTGCAAAGTTGTAAGGTGGCAATTTCGTAATTAGTGAGAAGTCTCGTGACGTTTATAAATGTTCAGATCTGACGATTGTAAATCTAATCCAAGGGTTGAGAATTGGTCTTACGGGTCTCACGAAAAACCATTGGTCTCATATGATCCCAAATCTATATATATATATATATAACTAGATTCTTATTGAGGTTTTTAAGTTAATGAATTGGAAATGACGTAGGAAGAAAAAACATAAAAAAAGTCGGTTCTCATTACTTTTTACGTTTTCTTACATTAAGAGATGCTTTTATCGTATATGCTCTAATAAAATATACGGTTTTATCCCACAATTTGAGTACCCCCAAAGAGAGCTTTCTTTATGAGAGAGAATGAGTTTGTAGAGAGAGAAAGTGACCGTGGAGGTGGAGGTGGAGGTGCCGCATTTGGTGTTGTCTGCAAATACTCACCAAACTTCCCTTTTCTCAACCCTCTCCTTTCACCCCTTCCTTTTCCTTTTCATCTTTTCTGTATATTTCTTACTTCCTTCCGCCGTACTTCGCCGGAAACACTGCTGATCACAAACTATTATCTCTCTGATCAAATACACTCACTCCCCTATGACTCTCTAGTGCTACGATTCCCTTCATCTTTTCAGACGAGCACGTAGGTCGGTTGCTTACCGGAATTTCAGCTACCAATGAAGGTGCCTGGCGTCACTTTGATAGCGACTAATCACGGCGAAGGTCAGCTATATATTCTCTTCTCATATTTTCGAAAATGGTGTGGTGGTCCCAAAAACAGCTATAAATTTTAATTTTGATATATTTCCCCCTTCCCTCGGTGTTCTTACCAAATTGTGGCACCGTCATATCGGCCTTCAACGGAATTTTCAGAAATACTTGGTTAGAAACACCAAATTTTTTCTTCTTATCATCGAATTTCTTATTTCCGAAACAGGCGCGGAGAAGTTCATGATAAATCCGGAGCTATGGCAAGCGTGCGCTGGACCTCTGGTCAATTTACCGGCGGCTGGGACCCACGTCGTCTATTTCCCTCAAGGACACAGCGAACAGGTATGCTCTTGCTATCTTACGCCGTTCCAGGCTAATGTACGCCGTTGCTTGATCAAATTTCTAGGGTTTCTTTCTTTCTCTCTCATGTAAGCGGTGCTTTTACATCAAATTTATTTCAAGAGAGAAAATGGTTGGAGCCATCTGGGTTGGATTCCAACGTAGACAGCAACTGTGGCCACTGATTTCCTGGTGTAATAATTTGGGACGCCCTTCAAAAAAAGAAATTTTGCAATGCTGCTTGTACGGTACAAGTGTTTATGCATACGTGCGCACAGGACCTTCTGGCCATCTACCATTGCTAATTTGTGGGCATGTATTATGAGGATCATAATTGAACTCTAGCCTTTTGGATAAGTTGCACGGTACAACTATTTAATGCATAAAGGTAAGAAAGTCCGCATATTTTGACCAATTCAAGACGAAAAATGGAAATAGCAAACTTATATATATATATATATATATATATATATATAGCCTAATCAAATGAGAACTAATTAGTTTGTGGTAACTGTGAGAACCAATATTAACCACAAATCAATAAATAAATTAGGAAATTTATAATTTTAACAATTTTGAATTAAAATATTAATGCAAAGATATTTTTGGTATTTTAAAACTTTCCTCCCTCCTCTCTTCTCTCTCCGGCCACCGTCCTCCGGTGATACTACAATGGTATCACAATGCATCATATATGTACTTGTGTATCACATTGATGTCGTTTGTGTGGTCGATCGAAGATGTTACACAGTGATACCACTATGCATCTTATATATGATTAGGTATCACAATGTATCTTTTGTTTAACAGAGTCAATATTTTTAGGTATCACAGTGGTATCATAGTGGTATCACCGGAGGACGGTGGCCGGAGGCCGGAGAACAGTGGCCGGAGAGAGAAGAGAGGAGAGATGAGAGTTTTAAAATACCAAAAATATCCTTGCATTAAGATTTTAATTTAAAATTACCAAATTTATAAATTTTCTAATTTATCTATTGATTTGTGGTTAATATTGGTTCTCACAGTTACCACAAACAACTCAGTTCTCCCTTGAATAGGCCCCTAGATATATATATATATATATATATATATATATATATTAATTAATTAACCTGGATATAGGGCGACCACCTGCTTTGAACCTCCATGGCTACAAGGGGATTTTTATTCCTACTTGGATTTGAACCTGTACCTCCTGGTACTTTTGACCCTTGGAGCTAAGCTCAAACCAATCAGGCACCACCTTTGTGGTTATATATATATATATATATTGAAATGGACGATTATTGTTTATAGATTATGATACAAAACCTGCATAAATTAGTAATTTCGCATTAAATTAAAGTAACGAATTATCGATCTTTTAGGAAATTACTGATGCATGAGTAATTGTTAAAACTGATACGACTTTAAAAGTAACTTGAAAAGCAAAATATTTGGAACTTTTATTCGATTTTGCTTTTTGTTTGTGGGTGGAGGGAGTTACATGTTGTTATCATTAGTCATCACCAAGCTTTCTTGTAGGACCAACCCAAAATTTCCAATCTAAATTCGATTTCCACGGGGTACGGAACAATCATATGGTATCGAGCTAACTTTTATGGAAGTTATTCCTAAATGAACAACTTCTAGCACATGAGGTACAAGTATATGATCATACTGCATTCGAAACTTGTAACTCAGATGTGTACTTACTGTTTCTGTAATCACTATAGCTACAGCACGGTAAATTCTGAATACAAATCACATATCCTCTCACCATTCCCTCCGATCAGCTCCTATTTACCAAAGGGAAGACATAGGCTTATTTCCCCTTGCGATAGAGGTAAGGTCTGAGTATATTATGGGTCCGTTTGGTTTGGTTAAGTGATAGGCTTATTTGTCTACGAGGCTTTACCTTGCAAAGTTCATATCAGGTACTGACGGTGTTAATAACACTTGGTAAAAAAAAAACTAAACGGTTTCTTTTTATGTTTATGATAAATGTTTTCAGGTTTCTGCATCTATGAAGAAGGGTATGGATGCTCAAATTCCAAGTTATCCTAATCTTCAGTCGAAGTTGTTATGCATTCTGCATAATGTTACATTGCATGTATGTCGGTTTGTTAATTATAGTATTTCTTTAAAACTCGTTTTCAGGATTCCAATATTTAAACGGGGAAAATCTTTGACATTTGTTATGTTATTTGCTATAATTATCGTTAATTTTTTGTTTTAGGCTGATCCTGAGACAGATGAAGTATATGCTCAGCTGACACTCCAACCTGTTACTGCGGTATGCTACTCCATAATTCAATATTTTGAAACTACTCTTTTATCGTATGATAATTGCAACACTTTTATTTGTCTATTATCATTACAAATCAAGTAATGGCATCTTATGATGATGAGTTTTGGAACATGGACGAAAAGACATTAAGTTTGCAAGTTTATGCAGTTTGATAAGGAAGCGTTATTGAGGTCAGACCTCTCGATGAAATCATATAAGCCACAAACGGAGTTTTTTTGCAAAACTCTTACAGCAAGTGATACAAGCACTCATGGAGGGTTTTCTGTACCTCGCCGAGCAGCCGAGAAAATATTTCCACCTCTGGTAAGCAAAGTTTCTTTTTTTCGGGGTGGGGTAGTTGATGAAACATGAAATCTTTGTGGTATTTAAGAGCAAACTGTTTTCTTGTTCTTTTGTAGGATTTTTCGATGCAACCACCTGCACAAGAACTTGTGGCAAGAGATTTACATGATAGTGTATGGACATTTCGCCATATCTTTCGTGGTATGTTCATCTTGCTTTTCATGAGCCAAAATGTTCCATCACAAGCCTTTGAAGTTCAAAATGTTTGAAATTCAGGGCAACCAAAACGGCACTTGCTCACGACTGGTTGGAGCCTGTTTGTTAGTGGAAAAAGGCTTTCTGCTGGAGATTCGGTCTTGTTTATTAGGTAAAGCCACATACTATCATTTTGTTTGGGTGCTAATATTTGTTTGCTATTCAGTTTGGTCATTTCATATTTTCGTTTTGTGGGTCCCATATACATGATAGAGAAGAAATAACAGTATATGTTCTATGTCGCTGAACAGGGATGAAAAGCAGCAGCTTCTATTGGGTATTAGACGAGCCACCAGGCAACCGACCAATTTATCATCATCAGTTTTGTCCAGTGATAGCATGCACATCGGAGTCTTGGCTGCTGCTGCCCATGCAGCTGCCAACAACAGCCCTTTCACCGTGTTTTATAATCCAAGGTAATTGACTTTTAACGTCAAAATTTACCCATTTTTCTAATCACAAAAGGAAAAAAATATTCAACTTCAATAAGATGTTCATTGAAAGAAAGAAGATGGGAATTTATCAAAAAAGAAAAATGCAAAGCTGAGAAGTTATCCTGCAGGGCTAGTCCATCGGAATTTGTTATTCCCTTAGCAAAGTACTACAAAGCAGCGTGCAGCAACCAACTATCTCTTGGCATGCGCTTCCGTATGATGTTCGAGACTGAAGAGTCTGGAACAAGAAGGTCAGAAGGCGTATTATTTTCAACTTCTTTTTAAATGTATTTGCGCTTCTTACTCGAGGTTCTACATTGTGCAGGTATATGGGTACAATTACAGGCATTAATGATCTAGATGGAGTGAGATGGAAGAATTCACAGTGGCGTAATATACAGGTATGCATTGTAGAATGTCTTCTCATAGACACACATATGTGTATATATAATCGGTATATTTTATTGAGTAGGTAGGCTGGGATGAGTCAACTGCTGGCGAAAGGAGGAACCGTGTCTCAATTTGGGAGATCGAACCTGTTACAGCTCCTTTTTTCATATGCCCGACTCCCTTTTATGGATTAAATCGTCAAAGATATCCCGGAATTCCAGGTAAACTAGCTTAATTTGCAAATTTTGTTATATAACCTCAATCATATAGTCATATAGACCCAAATTAAAACAGTTCTTTTTAATGATCATAAAGTGCCCGTAATTCTAGATCAAAAAGTTGCAATTTTTATTTTTATACAACAGGGACAGTAAAAGAAGTTGGGTAAAAGTGAAGCATAAAAAGGCACAATATTTAGGGGATCAGATTCTCTTGTTGTCCTGTCTCTGTCATTCTTTGACCTGCAAAGGTATCTCTTTTATGGTCCTTGAATGAACATCAAGACAAATGTGTCGAGACTTTATGATTAGAACCCAAAGATGCTCTTTGACCGACCAACTTTCAGGCCTGTGAGAATATATCGAGCCTCTCATTAGATTACTCTCAAAGAGCCCTTAAGGAGAGAAGGGAGGTTCCAACATATATGGAGGAGAATGGTCCAAGCTAGCAGATGTGGGACTATAACATGCCTCCTCTATGGAGGCTAGACGAGTAGAGATTGCCCCAAAGTGTCGAGTCTCTCGAGAAGAGGAGAGGTACCAACATATGTCGAGGAGAAATGAAGTCTAGCCGCTGTGGAACTTTAACAAAGCCAACTAATGATAATTAGTGATCACAAATGTAAAAAAATCCAAGAATCTTTTTATTTCTAAATGTGCAGATGGTGAATCTGCTGACCTAGACAATTTCTTCAAGAGAACAATGCCTTGGGTTGGTGAAGATATGTCGATGAAAGATACTGGCCTAAGCTTAGTCCAATGGATGAATATGCAGCAAAGCTCGATACAATCCAACCACTTGAATCCATTGGCTGCACCTGTTTTGCAAAACTATGGTGGACCAGATATGTCACGAATTCTTCCACACGACAGCTTACAGTTTAATAGTCTAAGGTCAACAGCACAGCTTGATCAGCTAAAAAACCAACTCGTGCCTTCCACTGTGAACCCATTAGCCTCCATGATGCAACCACTGCAACAGTTGGCTAGCCCGAGTCTGCAAACAACTAAACAAAATGTAGTCAATCAATCGCTGCCTCAGAATCGAGTTCAATCCCATATTCAACCTCAAAATGCTCTTCAGCAGCAGTCATCAGTACAAAACCCTCAGCTCCATAGAAACCTTCCACAGCAGATGGCTGAGGTGAGTCAAAGTCAACAGAAAATATCATTGCCGCCCGAGTTTCCCGATCAACAACAATTACAGATGCCTGAAAATCAAGTTCAGCATCTACAAAAGCTTCATCAGCGACAACAATCACTTTTAGCTCACCAATCTGCACAGCTACAACCCCAAGATCAGCAAAAACCATTAGCAGATCAACAGCAAATGTTAAGAAATAATAGCCAAACAAATATTTGGTTTACCCATCTTTCTCAGCAACCAAAGCAGACCGATCAACTCTTGACCTATGGCAACGGTTTATTGATGGGGACTGCAGCCACAGGAGGTCAATCTGGTATAACTGATGATGTTCCATCGGGTTCCACCTCACCTTCAACAAATAATGGCCCGATCATGCTTCCATCAGTTATTGATGGTAGATCCTACCGGAGCACAAGTATGGGCGGTGAAGAGATCACTCAAGCTTCTGCTCACCTAATGAATACCAGTGGTTTAGAAACCGTATCACCAAATATCGAGTTTTTTAAAGAATTGCAGCAAAAATCTGGTATGAAGCCGAGTGACAACATCTCAGAGAGTCAGAATAAAGGATTCATAGCTCCACAAATATACTTGCATCATGTGTTTGGAACCCAAGTCGGTTACTTGGACAGTTCATCTTCAGGGACTTCAGTTTGTGTTTCTCAAAATGATGTTCATTTGCAACAGCAGAACTCCAATCAGCTGTCTTTTGATTCTCAACCGCTGCCAATTCAAGGTGGGGAAGTTGAAGATGATCATATTCCATTTGGGACAAACAATGAAAACCATTTGGGTATGATTCCTGACCCTTTGATCACAAAAAGGATGATGGGATGTGGTAAAGATTTCCAAAACAATCAACCAGATGTCTCTTCCCAGTCATTTGGGGTTCCAGATATGAGTTTCAATTCCATTGATTCCACAATAAATGGCGGCAGTTTGTTGAATAGTGGTGTGTGGGCTCCAGTACCAGCGCAACCACAACCTTTTCAACGGATGCGTACTTATACCAAGGTTGGTTGTCCATTTTTAGCAACGTGTATATGTGTGTGTGTGTGTGTGTTTTGTTGATGTGGGGAGTTTGAGTTTAGTTTTGGTTGTGTACATGATATAGGTATACAAACGTGGAGCAGTAGGAAGATCAATTGATATTACTGCTTATTCAGGCTACAAGGAACTGAAACAGGATCTGGCTCGACGATTTGGTATAGAGGGACAACTGGAGGATCGGCAAAGAATTGGGTGGAAACTTGTGTACGTTGATCATGAGAACGATGTTCTCTTGGTCGGGGATGACCCTTGGGAGTAAGTCCATAATTCTCAACAGAAAACATCTTTAAGTGATTATTCATTAATGAATAAATAGTTGGTTTTTCGGTTCTCAAATATACAAGTTCTGCAGGGAGTTCGTGAGCTGTGTATGCTACATCAAGATATTGTCCCCTCAAGAAGTACAGCAGATGAGTTTGGATGGAGATTTTGGGCACCCAAATCAACCTTGCACAAGCTCCGACCTCTAGTATATAGTTAGCATAGTCACACGTGTAAGCCTTCTATTGGTTATTCAGGTAGCCATATAAAATTAAGAACACACAAGGTCTAAAGAAATATTAGCTAGTTTGGGACTGGAAAGTGAAGCAGAGAATTATTATTATGAATCTCATCTTCTTAATTGCAACATCATCATCATCATCATGATGATGATAGCAATGTATTGCAATTTTTTTCTTTTATCATTTTTATAGAAGCTTGGAAATTTGTAGTAATTTCGGTTGTATAGATATCGACTTGCTTAGCCGTGTGTTTGTCGATGTTTCCTCACTATTTGCTTTCATGAAATATTTGATGGTTTAAAATGTATCTAGTAGAAGAAATATGAGTGTCAACGACATGCATTTAGCGATGATATTGTGACGACATGTCGTCTCTATAAATCGTTTGTGACGATAAATTGACTTTTAATGACAACAAAAGTCGTTGCTAAAACCCTTGTTTTTTGTGGTTATATGTTACAGAGTATCTTAGATCCTACTTTTAGAAGTGAGATATTGACATATACTGACTTGTGTTACCGACTACGTTTGGTTTGGTTTAACAAGATCCAACAAGCCATAGAGCATTTAAAACTGATCATACAACTTTTGTATGAAATAGTATGTTAAGAGTCATTTGAAAATAGAACAAAAAACATAACATGCAATTGATCATAAATAACATACATATAAAATATATTGTATCTTGTATATAAATTGAAACATCATGCGTACGTACATATTACCATATAAATCATATTATGCTCAAAATAAATTCGTATGTATGTATGTATGCATCCATTGTAAGTCTCATGAAGACTCACGTGGTTGCTTGTAGATCAGCTACTGATAACTCTAATTCGAAAACCTACACATTTCATATCATCATGTCCAATTAATGACTTAATTTCTCCAAAAGTCAACTATGGTCAACTCAACCCTATGTAAAGTCAAACTTCATATATGCCTCAAATAACTCAATTTGACCCTATCATTAAAACCCACATGGGTCAAATGAGTCAAAAAGTCCACTCTTGGTCAACCCCGACCAACTTTAGTCAAATCCCAAGTTTATAACTCGATAACTTTCCAAAACTTCTAGTTCATCCTTTTGATAATTTTATAAATTCATCTCTTTGATAATTTTATTATTAAATCACTTAAATTCAATTAAATAATTTAATATCCCTCTCAAAGAATAATTAATTAATTAAACCAATTCATTTAATAAATATATCTTGAACAAAAATAATTTTAAAAATAACTAAATAAACGAAAACTTAGGTGACCCAATGCAGACTTGTCTTTCTCATGTCCATGGTTCACCAAACCTTCCAATCTTCCATCTTAAATATTGAAGGCCTAAATCGCAATCCCAACATAAAATCATAACCGTTTGATCCAGCAGGGGCTTCGGCCCCACGACCAGCCCGAACGTTGCTAGGAAAACGCCACGGGCGTTTCAACTAGTCGGTAGTCGGAAAATCGTTCAATCGGCCTTATTTCTTTTTTGATATTGGTGATTCATTTTGTTAAAACTCTACGTTATCAATTTCCTCAATTATAGGAACAAGAATTAACGAAAACCATCAGGTATTGAGTCTTATTTTCTCATTTAAAGTTTGAGCTTTAAAACCACTCAAGCCCTTATTGCCTACATGAATTCTGCATTCAGTTCAACCCATTTTGAAGCAAACTGTATAGAGATTTAAAAGACTTTGATCAGTACATGAGGATGACTGCTTCCGCTTCAATGAACTTCATTATGTACAACTCAGTTGCTTCATGTTAGTTCTACCAAACTCATTACAGTATTATATTAAATTAGTTTCTCATTACATGTTTATGTTCCTATACTTTTATTATTGTTATCATATGCTTAAATAAAATTCATATACTGATAACAAGAATAAGTGAAAGTACAATGTTATAATAAAAAAAATACATTTATATTTTTTGCTTTTAAATCTATAGTATATGAAGTAGAAAAGGATAAGCCTCTCAATAATCTAGATTCTGGGCCTTTAGACATCTCCAACTCAACACTAAAAATGAAATACCAAAAAAATAAAGGTCTTCAAACGTGGGCGGTAAAAAATAACAACATCTATAAACGAAATATTACTATGATATGAAGTTTTTATAGTTTCGTATTGATTAATAGTTTAATATATTAAGTAATTTTAAATTACTATTATTATAATACTAGAATGGTATTTGTATCATACAACGAGATACATCTCGATTTTAATATTTTATTTTATTTATTTTTGTGTCGGTCAATATTATAATATAATTTTATGTGATTTTAAGAAAATGATAATATTTTTATTTTTGAATAAAATATAAATATGAATATATTATAAGAAAGTGAATTTTTTTTGATATCAGTACCAAACTAACTATTTAGTATTTCTTTTTTTTATATTTTCTTAATTCATTTTTCATTTTTGATTTAATAATATAATTTTTTATAAATATAATAATTAAATATTTTATTAAAACTCAATAACTATTTTAATTATATTTTAAATTTTTTATATTTTAAATGAGATGTTTATTCAATATTTAATTATGTTTATTTACAGTTAAGTATATGAATTTAAGCATAAAACTTCAATATTTACATATAATTTACTTATAATTTTGAATTTATTAATTAGATTTTTTGTGTTTTATCGTTTTCATTTATTTTAGTGATTTTTCCAGTGGTCGGTTGTAGATGCTCTAACGTCGCCATTTCATCTTCTCAACCAACGTCGCCATTTCATCTCGATTGGCTTTGGCTTCAACTTCATCATCTCGATTCAAATTGTGGTAGGTCTTTTTGCCTCTTCAAGCTTCAGTTTGTTTTTCTTGCTCTACAATCACTTTGAAATATTTTAAACCCTAATCGCCAAATAACAACAATAATAGAGACATTTCCACGAATTCTTGTTGGCTCAAACAAGAATCTCCTCGACCCATTCTTCATACACCGATTTCAGCTATCACTTACTCCATTAACTGCAATAGTATCACTGAATCACTTCGCTTCTGATTGTTACCGACCACGTCTTTGATCATGGTGGACTGAAGTTTCTTGACCACTTTTTACTGCTTTAGGATCTTTTCTAATTAGTTTGGTCCTTCCGAGTGTCACTGCCTCTTGATAAGCAATGACCCAATTTCCACTAATTAAGTGGTTCAATCTTAAGAATATTTATATTACATTCTGATGGATTGGAGCTATTAATTTCAAGATTTATTTATTTCAACAAATTAAGTGGTACGTATAGATTTGGGTGCATAATAACTAAAAGCCAATTCTATGCATAACATGAGAATTTAATGATATTTATGAGAACTTTCCATGTTATCCCCTGATCATTCCTTATGACATTGGATTCAAACTGATATGTTGATTTTTAATTGATCTCCTTGTCTAATTTGTATTTGAAGTTACTAATCATTCAATGTTTATCAAACAATCTTTTCTGGAAAATGATTCAACAGGTCAGAATTGTAATCTTCTATCATCCAGATTTTTCCATCTAAACACTTATCGGACACTCATTTTTTATTCAGCATCAATTCCAGAAAAAGCCTTTAAATCGTTCAGGCCTCTTTTTCATTTAGATATGGATGCTATCTCGGTTCTCTCTGCAACTTATCCTGAAACCAAAACGATCCATTTGAAGGCGTTCTGCAACCATAAGATCTCACACAGTAGAGGTTCAGCTCAGAAGGTAAGCCATTTTTTGTGTCTAATTTTTGTACTTGTGTTTTTTTATTATGTTGTTATATGTGTTTATCAGTTTAATTAAAGCATAAACTTCAAGTTGTGTATGTGCATTTTTTGATTATTTTTATTTAACTAAGGAAAATATCAGTTTCTTGTTTAGTACTTGATGGAATTTGAGGAATATGTGGATTTGACTTGTGTAAGGAAATGTTTCTTGTACTAACATCATATAGTTCTGAAAAAATGTGAGTTAGAATTACAGAAAACAATCAACAGGAAAACCCCCTCAAAATTTCATGATTTCAATGAGTTCAACTTCTTGATTTGCCTATGTGATTAATATAGCATCCATGCTCATTTATTTTGTGTATTAACTCGTGTATATGTATGAATATTCATAAATCTCTCTCTCTCTATATATATATGTGTGTGTGTATATATTCATGTGTATATGGGGGTTCTTGTACTCCACTATGTCATGATAGAATAACAATCTACCCGTTTTTATACGACTGGGCATGCTTTAATTTTTAGTTGAATCTCATCCAAAAATTATAATGAATTTGCCATTGGGTCAGTGGTAAAATAACCTTTATCATATTTGGGAAGTCTCATAATGGAAATAACTCGTGATGCACTTATTGATTCTCTCTGATCCTGTTGGGTTTGCTTGAATCAGGACGATAAACAATATGGATGTTTTAAGAAGATTACTAATCATAACGATCGTGCTTGTATAACTCAAAGTTTAAGCAGAAAGAGATTACCCCATATTGCTAAAGAGCTTGTTGTCGGATTGCAATCTGAAGGTTTTCTTCTGAACAATTCTACCTTGACAGCTTTGATGTTGTACTATGCCAATAACGGATTTTTAGCCGAGGCAGATGCCATATGGAATGAAATTATAAATAGTTCTTATAGTCTTGATCTTCATATAGTTTCAGAACTAATTGATGCTTATATTGGCATGGGGTTTTTTGATGAGGTAATCAGAATTATACGTCAAATTAGTCTTAGGCATCCTCAATTACAACGTGAAGTTTATGCGCACACCATATCTTGTTTTGGTAAGATTGGAGAGCTTGATCTAATGGAAGATACATTGAAGGATATGGTCTCAAAGGGATTTCTTGTTGATTCTGCTATAGGTAATGCTTATATTGTGTATTATAGTCGTTTTGGTTCAATATCCATGATGGAAAATGCTTACAAGCGTCTAAAAAGTTCAAGAATTCTCATAGAAAAAGATGGGATTAGGGCGATTTCTGTTGCTTACATAAGGGATAAAAAGTTTCATAGTTTGGGTAAGTTTTTAAGGGATGTGGGCCTTGGTAGGAGAAATGCCGGAAATCTTCTTTGGAACCTTTTGCTTTTGTCGTATGCTGCCAACTTCAAAATGAAGAGTTTGCAAAGAGAGTTTCTAAATATGGTGGAAGCGGGATTCTATCCTGATCTCACTACTTTTAATATTCGAGCTGTGGCCTTCTCAAAGATGTCTTTATTCTGGGATCTCCATCTAACCCTCGAGCATATGAACCATAATGGAGTTATCCCGGATCTTGTCACATATGGCTGTGTTGTTGATGCATATTTGGACAGGAGACTAGGGAGAAATTTGGAATTTGCTCTAAGGAAAATGAACGTGAAGGATCCTGCTCTTGTATCAGCCGACCCGATTGTGTTTGAGGTGATGGGAAAAGGGGAATTTCACTCTAGCTCGGAGGCACTTTTAGAATTTAAGAGGCTGAAGACATGGACCTATCAGGAATTGATTGCAACATATCTTAAGAAAAAGTATCGGAGTAATCAAGTCTTCTGGAACTACTGATGTGTTATCGAAGATGAGAAATGCAGTTTTTAGTCGAACCTTAAGGCATGTGGCCGGTAGTCCTTGGCTATTGACGGAGGAGTTAAATGATCCTAACACCACTTCCAGAAATTCTGGAATACATTTACTCTATCTATTGCTGATTTTCTGTTATGTGCACTTCCGGGAACCAAATTGTTGAGCTTGAGTCACTTGTATTGGCCTGCAAAAGAGTAAAGTGCGATTCACCGAGAAAGTGGCAATCCAGCTCAATGTGTTTTGAAATCCACATTAAAATTGTAATAAAAGGCTTCAACTAGAAAGAAAGGCTGTGTTAAATTAGTAACAAAACCAATAACACCACTGAGAAAGTGGCAATCCAGCTCAATGTGTTTAGTTTGTGCATGGAAAACAGGATTTGGACTAATTGAATTTGCGGAGGAGATATCACAGTATAGTGATAAGGGATATGGAATAGGAATAGTAAGATCACTGTCTTAATTAAGTTACCCTAAACTGTATGGGTATTGTGGCATACGTAAAGGTGGGTAAAAACCAGGCGTCGCCTATAACTATCCCGGTTCTTGTTGGTCATTCCACAACCGATCCTAGCAGTAATTGGTCTTTTGCAAGAAAGATTGTAAGCGGTTATAACTACTAATCCTGCACTAATCCTGCAACAGGTTATGCTAAACATTAAAACTGCCATTCTTTTATCAAAAACAAAACATGTACAGAGATATAAAAAGGGTTTTCGTCAACCTCTGATTGCCCCCACCGCACCGGTCCCATTAAATTGTGTATGCATCCAATTGTCAGAGGGGTGGTGCCCGGCTCGAATCTGGAACCTCACACATATGGATTACATCCACACCTCTACTGGTAGGACAGTGTCACAGTGATATCGGACTTGAACTAAGGTGGCTGGCAAATGTAAAGGCTGTCATTCCCATCACTTTTGTCTGATTGTTGCCCTGGAAAATGCAACCATTAATGAAAGAGAACTTGGCAATGCTCTTGTGAATTTGTTGATCCTCAAGTGCTACATTTGGAATCAAAATCCATAGGTTATATAGGACAAGCATATAAGAGCAGAATATGGCGGATGAGGATCACATGCCTGAAATGATCTTGTTATAGCCAAACTGGTGATTCTGTAACCTTTAAGCCAGAAAAATTACATTGATCAAAATCACATAAATGTGTAGCTAGATTGTATCCCAAATGATACTGTTCTCAAGATTAAAATATCCTGAATCGATTACTCTTCCATAGCCTGTTCAAATGCCGCCCCAGGGAAGAAATATGATTTACAAGGACCCTTCCAATAGTACCTTGATCAGAAGTGACTTGGGTTTCAGAATTCATGGAAAATGCACTTCAAATTGATGAAACCAGTCATTCCTAACCAACCGAAGGTCTCCACCTTCTAAGTGATGAATCAAATCAACCATGTGTAGTTTTAGTTGGTGAAGTCACCCGAATGTCCTATTGAAGATCCCTTGTCCGTCTCGCTACTATAAGTTGAGTAGAAGTCTTCTTCCACGCTGTCCTTTTCTTTCACCTCCTCAATTCTCTCTACAACTTGTTTAATTTCCATCCTCTTGTTGGTGTCTGTTTCGCAGCAACTCAAACCAATCTTCAACAGCTTCATCATCTCCCCTTCATTGCTCTTGTCGAATCCCGTCATTTCCTTATCAAACATGTCAATACTGAACTCCTGGTCGGCCACAGAATTAATGAAATCTGCAAGATCAGTGTCATTTCCTTTGCCTTGGTAGAGAGTTGGGATCTTTCCGGTCATGATCTCGAGGATTAAGATCCCGAGACACCATATGTCTGTCCTTTTTGAGATGCGGCCGATTTGCTTATACTCTGGTGACTTGTAGGCCATCATGAGATCACGTGCTAGTTCTGGGTTGGTTAATGGAACCAACCCATAATCAGTAAGGAGCGGCTCGTAGTTCTTGTTGAGAAGGACATTTGATGACTTGAGGTGACCATGAGGCACGATTAGGCTTGGCAGCTTGTTGTAAAGGTTTTGAAGCCCTCTAACTACTCCTTTAACTATCTTTAACCGAGTAGGCCAATTTGGGCTTCGAATTTCATTAGACTGCTTGCCTGAGATCATCACAACAAATGCAAGTGTAAAAACCAAACCAAACAATCCCAGTATATTCCCACCTGTAGATGGGTTAGGGCCTGACCTCTACCTCAAAATAGTAGGGCGGTTGTTTCCATGAAGACCCTTTGATTGTGCAAAGTGTGCGAAAAGAAAGGATTGAAGTTGCTAAAAAGATTTGCTGAGAAAGAAGAAAGGAGTGTACGGTATGCAATTAGGGTTTTGTATAAATCCATAGCATACCATGGAGATGGAAGGCCAAACTGATGTTGTCAATGTAATCTGAAACCAAAAGCTTCTCTTCTTTTCGGTAGTAGAAAGCCACAAGTGTTATCAAGTTCGGATGTCTCAAACTGCCTAACCTTGCCATATGCTTGCAAAACTCTTCTTTCCTGGCGTTATTCATTTGCTTGAACCTTTTCACTACCACCAGTTTCCCACCATCTAGAGTGGTCTTATAACTGGATCCAAACATCCCACTTCCCAATATCTCGGCTGATGCCTTGAGCAAGTCTGCAAGGTCAAACGTTTCCACATCGTCTCTCAAGAAAGTCAACTGCATAGAAAGATCCACCTTTTTGCCGTTATGAGCTGATACTCCACCTTTCTCTTGCATGCTAAGGTTAGCTGAGGCTGCTAGAACTGTTGAACCCTGGTTTAGAACTCCTGCCGCCGGACCTAGTTGCTGGTGGTGATGGTGGTGGTGGCGGCTTAGGATTATAACAGCAAAAATAACAGCAGCAACTGCTATTGCCACAACCACTGCTATGACGATGATTGTGGAGGTAGAAGTACCTGCAGCCCTCTGACATTCTGTCAATGGTGTTCCACAAAGTTCTCCATTACCTGTCTCAGGAAGTCGAAACTATGATGACCCATGATTTCAATTAAGACTTAGAAATTTAATTCCTTTCAACAAATCTCATTGAAATTGTTTATCATGTGTAATATTTGAACACAGAAGCATTGCTGATGGGCAGATATATTCATGCATATAATTGAAGAATCTGTATATATGACAGGAGACCAGAATGTATGGTTTGAAAAAAGGGATTGTATAACTCACCTGAAAATCTGGTTGCAGGAGAATCTCGAAGCCCTTCTGGGATACGGCCATGGAAATGATTGTTGGCGAAATTTGCAAGGGTCAACTTACCTTGATCAAAATTTGGGATTTGACCATCAAAATGATTGTTTTCAAGCAGCAACTCTTTAAGCTTAGGCAATGTGGTCAAGGACAGAGGGATATGGCCCATGAGCTGGTTATTGGCCAGGTATAGCTTGGTGAGGCGGTTGAGGCCATTGAAAGCGTTGGCCTTGATCTCACCATAAAACTTGTTGTTGGACAAGAAAATCTCTCGCATTCCATCAAGCTTTCTGAAATCAGGAAGAGAACCCTCCAAGCTGTTGTTTTTGAAGCTGATACTGACCAAAGATGGCAATCTGGCTAATATGGTTGGGTCAATGCTACCTTCAAGTCCTTTCCCCTCGAGTTTAATCCCCCAAATGTTGCCATTGGTGCAAAGAAGACCTTCCCAATTGGGTCGGTTATTGTTACAGGGGGTGCTGGAATCGGTCCAGGTGGTTAGGTTGTCGCCATTGATAAGGGAATCCTTGAACTCAATGAGCGTTTCTGAATCTGAACCGTTGACATGAATGATGAGGAGGAGGAGGAGAACAATGGAATGGGCCAACATGGACGTGGCGGAGGATGGCGGTGGTGCGCGCACATACAAGTGCGCGCCAATTAAAGGGGGTATTGCAGAGGGCAATGGTGGCTGGTTTGGGGGTCACAGAAGACTTGGAAATGAAATGGATATGTGTGGGCATGAAGGAAGAAAGGTGACGAAAGAGAAAGAGAAAGAGAAAGAGAAAGAAAGACATGATAAAAAAGAAAGAGAAAAAGGAGAGATCGAGGGGGGGATGGTTCCAAGAATAGTTATAAGGTGGGACCAGTTCTTCCATCAGATTTATGCGCCATTCCTTTTTCTTCAGGATTCTGCCTCTAAACCACACCCCATAACCCATAACCCATAACCCATAACCTCTCTTCCTTAAACTTCAGGAATAGAAAATGTAATAGAGATTTGGGTTTTATTATGTGATGGATATTTTGGTCTTTTCATCTTATCCTTATTTGTTCTAAAAAAATTGTTCAATGACTTAATCATTCCAAACACTAAAGTTCATTGGGTTTTTTTAGACTTTTTCTTGTATTAAAACAATAACCACAACAACGAGATGGAAGTCTCTGGACACACGAGAATAACTCTTTTTCTTAATTTGTAGTATTTTTCCTTTTCACTTAGTTTTTTGCCAATATTTATTTATAACCCAACATGTCACTTTCAAATGCCAAGTATCTTTGGGTTTACTTTCTCTTTTACTCTTTAGTAATAATGCAATTATACGAAGATATTAATTGAAGAAGTTCACAGGTTTTCACTAATTCTTTAAGATGCAACGTAAATACTCCCTTTCTACATCTTGCATATAAAAGAAATTCACGATTGTTGACATCCATTGGAGCATGTTAAATACTTTTTGAGATACAAGATGCTTGCATTTCTCATCTCACCAAGTTATTGTTCACCTTTCAAAGGTTACTTATGCATGGTACAAATATCTTTTGGGCTTATTTACTTGCTTTGTGTTTGTGAACCTAATCATTCAGATTGATGATTTCTTCTGATATTTTTTGATTTTTTCTTCTGCTTATGTCGGGAATTTTATAGGTTATCTTTGGTTGCTCAAGGGTTTACTACTTATTTTACTGTTAACCCAAACAGCGCCATGGATTCCATTTTACGATTGATTTTCTTACATCAATGGAGCTTGAAGTTTTTGTGGGGAGGATTTTGATTTTTAAGTCGCGTGAATACTCAATCTTGATGTTTATTGTGGAAAACTTTTGGTGGACTGGGTTTAACTCATGGCCTAGATCTTGGCTTGGTATGCTCATGTTGGGCTAAGCCATGGTTGGATTGGAGTTGGAGAGTTGGGGTGTTTACGTCCCAAGCGTTCTAGGCCGTGAGAAAGCCCAAGGCTTATTAATTAATTGGTTTATTTATTTGATTATTAGTATAATTAATTAATCTAATTTCTATTTTAGTTAATATATTATATTATGTTTTTACTTAATTAATATATCAAAGATTACTGTTATTCAATTATATATTCCTAGTAGCGGGTATTTTTTTAAAAAAATAATTCATTATATTAAGTGACTTAATAATTAATTTAAAGTTTCACAATTGGAATAAAAATTATTAGAGCATTTAAATTCGAATCAGTAGATTTATGTAATTATAAAAATGTCAATTCAACATTTATATAATTATACAATGTAAATTTATAAAAACAAACATTCTTATTAAAAAAAAATTAAAATAGAAGTGTTGTATTTAAAATTAACTATTTTCAGTTTTAGGAGGTGTACTTATGTTTGACTAAAAGCAATAATGCATAAACCCCACAACAAAGTGTTAAGGGTGAAGTAACTTTTTTCAGTTTTAGGAGGTGTACTTATGTTTGACAAAAAAACAATGCATAAACCCCACAAAAAGTGTTAAGCGGCGTGTTTATACATCAAGTTGCAAAGACTTTGAGGACAAATTTGATTCATAAAACAAATTTTAATTAATTCCCTCCTTATAAATAGGTGTTACATGCATAAGCAGGCACATTGCAAATCTTGATATATCTATCTATATAGCCATGAGGGGTTTGAAATGTGGTGCGCTTTTTGTCGTGGTTGCATTGGCATTACAGTTAGCCGATGCTCAACTTTCAGGACTCTAGAATCTCATCAGTATCTCTGGATCAATATCATGCTCTCTTGATGGTAGCATCATTCCTAATGCCACCACCCCAACCCCTCCATTCCCAAGTAATAATTCTACGTACTCCTTCCATCAAGTTCATTTATAACTAAACTTGCTTACTTTACTAATTGATTGATGTATATATATAAGGTACAGATGCTTTGGTTGATGTACCATGTGGTGGAAATGTGATATCATCAGCCATAACCAATGGATCGGGAATGTTTAATATAACTCTGAATCCGCTTCAATTTCCTCTGAGCAACCTTTCTGTCGTCGAATTGCAGTGTGCGTGTTGTTAGACCACTCTCCAATTGCAACGCAACATTGCCATCAACAGGAGTTCTGCAAGCCTCACTACAACTCATTGACACCATAACTGATGGCCTCTTAAACCTTTTCATTTTAGTGCCTTCAGAATTCCTGTTTATCAGACTTTGATCTAGGGCTGAGCAAAACCCGAAAAACCCGAAAAATCCGAAAAACCCGCCCGAAAAAACCCGACACCGAAACCGAAATCATCGCCCGAACTACCCCGAAGTCCGAATCCGAGATTTACATCGGGTATGACGGATCGGGTAGGATCCCACGATCCCCCACCCGAACCCGCCCGAAACCCGATCTCATTAGGGATGTTCATGTTGGGCTTGGGCCTTTGTCGTAAACGGGCTTGCTTACTGTAGGGCTATGACGCAGCGGCAGCGCATCCCGTCTTCCATTCTTCCTTCCTCTTGCGAGTTGCGACTACGACTCTATGAGTTTGGCATCCCGTCTATCACTATTCTGCAAGACACCGACCAAATGCATCATTTGCTCTCATGAACTCCAAAAGCTCAGCAGATGTACAAAATGTATCTATAGCCGTATTATATGTAAAGTTTTATGGGATATGCAAAGCTCAGCAGATTTATAAAATGTAAAGTTTTATTGCTTGAAATATTTGAAGCACCTGGAGTACATAAGCTACCATTTGATTTAGTGCAATTGGTCAATGTTCCTACATGCTTGATCCAGGCTCTTCTAAAACCAATGTTAATACTACTGGATACTAATATCTGAAACATGCAGTACATAAGCTACTATTTGATTGCAGGCTATAACAATTGGGAACATGGACAACTARTAGCAATTTTTGGTGTACTTTGTAACCCGAACCCGACCCGATTAGCCGAAACCCGAATACCCCCGAACCCGAATACCCCCGATCCCCGAACACTGTACTTCGGGGTATGTCTTTGTAAACCGAAACCCGATCGGGTAACCCATTTTTGGGACCGATCCGATCCGACCCGTCCGATGCT